AATGTATTCAAGTGTATTTCCCACTTTCTCTTCTATAAGGTTCAGTGTGGATGGCTTTATGCTGAGGTCTTTGATCCATTTGAACTTGAATTTTGTGTGTGGTGATAGATATGGGTCTATTTTCATTCTTCTACATGTTGATATCCAGTTATGCCAGCACCACTTGTTAAATATGCTTTTTTTTCCATTTGATATTTTTTGCTTCTTGGTCAAAAATCAGGTGTTCGAAGATGTGTGGATCAATATCCAGGTTCTATTTGGTTCCATTGGTCCTCCTGTCTGTTCTTATGCCAGTACCAGGCTGTTTTCAGTAGAGCTCGAAGTCAGGGGTTATGATGCCTCCAGAAATTCTTTTATTGTACAGGATTGTTTTGGCTCTCCTGGATTTTTTGCTTTTCTATATGAAGTTGAGTACTGTTATTTTGAGGTCTGTGAAGAATTTTGCTAGGATTTTGCTGGACATTGTGTTGAATCTGTATTTATTTATTTGTTTGTTTATTTTGGTTTTTCGAAATAGGGTTTCTCTATAGCTTTGAAGCCTGTCCTGGAACTCGCTCTTGTAGACCAGACTGGCCTCGAACTCACAGAGATATGCCTGCCTCTGCCTCCCAAGTGCTGGGATTAAAGGTGCGACTCACCACAGCTCAGTTCAGCTCATTGTTTTTATTTTCAGTAAAATAAAAAGGAAAATGTTAGAGGGAAATAAACAGTTATGATCCTTCTGCTGCTTAGTCTAGTCATTTGTTTTGTTTTTGTTTTCCTGTTGAAGCACATTTAACCTTCATAGCAATTCTGCAATGTAGTTATAATTAAATTACAAATGAACAAAGTAAGGAACAAGCACTTATCATCCAGATTCAGACCGTCCAAACAAAGCAATCCTGTGCTTTATATGGGGGAGGTGTGAGGGCAAGGCTGTGCCTTCAGTGGATTGACATCTGAATCAGAACAGCCAGCACAAACAAACTAGGGCACATAAGATCAAACAGTGGGGCTGATACCAACAGGGATGTCTATGGGAAGAGATGGGACCTGAGCTAAAACTTGTGTAATAGTCTTAAAGTATGTGCAGATACACATGATGAGGCTGATAAGGACTTGTTTTTGTAATTACATTTTAAAACTTTATTTACAAATAATTGTATTTCCACATGCTCTGGTAAGTAATATTACTTATAACTTTTCTAAAGGACAAATTCATGCATTGGTAACATTTTATAAAACTACAGTAAAATACCATGTTTAAGATAGTAACATAAAAATAACCTATCAATGTAATTCAGCTTGCCTTGGTTTTTTCCTATTCTTTGTGTGTGTGTGTGTGTGTGTGTGTGTGTGTGTGTGTGTTTCCATGAAAATTAATGACATAAAAAATATGTACCTACTCCATAGCCAAGCTGAACAGGCCTATCACCACCAGAACAACTCAGATCAATCTTTTAAACTATACTCTGCACCCTTCTGTTGTGGGATATTTTGGTCACACTTTGACACTCCCAAGACTGACAGAAAAGTTTACTGTAAATCAGAGGGTGGAGCTAGCTATTAGCTGACCAAAATTAGCCAGAGAGGTTTTGGAAGACCAAGAAAATACAGAGAGACACAGGAAGTAATAGAAAGGGATTTAGAAAAATTCTTATCCCTTTCGGGTTGAGGAAGGAGAGAGTGAGGAGATCACTGGTCACCTCTCCACTCTTTCTCTGATCAATCAGGTTCTTACCCCATAGCTGACTCCTGAGTTTTTAATCAATAAATAATAATTGTACAAATGCTTCACCTGGTGCCCAGTGTGGGGCAAGGGGTCATGAAGCAGCTGTTCATCTCTGGCTTTGCAGCTGTTGGAGTCACCACCATGGCTGGCTTTCCCTCCCTTCCCCCAAGCCCTCCATGAGAGTCTGGGTTTTTTCTCATTGCAGTCTCTCAATAGTAGCCTACAACTGCTGCCCATCACGGTCCCCAGTGCCACAGGTGGCTGGGCCCCAAATGCTGCCAGAATTAGCCACCCACCCCAGCTGGCTCTGTTCTTCAGGCAGCTCTGTGCCCTTGCTTCCTGCCACATGGGCTTCTTCTGCATGTCCCCATGTTTCTAAGTTGCAGACTGCTTGTTCCCTCTCCCCATAGGTTGCAGGCTTCCCCTGGACCCCTTCCTCAGGCCATTGCCATGCCAGGTTGGCTGCCTCAACACAGCTTTCACTGCTGCTGCCTCTGCCACACACTCTCAGATCCCAGCTACATGTGAGCAGTGGCAGTTACTCTCAGCCAGGCCATGCACTGCCCATATTCTCTGCCCAGCCATGCAGCACAGTTACATCCAGCCTCACACTTCACTGTTATCATCAGCAGACCTGGTGAGACGTCTGGGAATTCTTAAAAGAAGAATTAGTTTTTTAAAAAGCATTTTTACCCACGTTAAAAATGAGGAACAATATTAGGGTGCAGGGAGTTAGATCTCTGTATGGTTCCACAATGGATGGTTTGAAAGTGAAAAAATTAAATGAAGGGATAATAGACTTAGCTGGGATTGGCATAATGTCCATTATAATCACTATTGGTTTGGTAATTCATGTTTTATCCTTTAAAAGTGGTTTGACATCATGCCAAATAGGAAAAATTGACTGAGAAGATATAAGTCTTATAAATACCTAATAATGAAACTAAGAAAAATACTCACACAGAGACAGAGGCGTTTAGAGCAGAACCTACCTTACTGTGGCATTATGAAACTGAAGAGGAGTGGTCCAACCTTAATTTATTCAGTTACCATTCAACAATGACCACCAGGTTATACAGAAGTTAACTGGGACTCTGTAGAAATGTTAAATTTGAAGAAATTTAAGGAAGCAGTGGTTTCATATGGCATGCATTCACCTTTTGTGAAATAGATGTTAAATTCATAGGCAATTCAGAACAATTTTTTTCCACAAGACTGAAAAGATTTAGTTATAGCAATATTGGAAGCTGGTCCTCAGTTACAATGGAAAATATGATGAAGGGAGGAAGCTAAGGTTATTGAACAATGAAGTCAGGCTAGAGGTACGTAAATTTCCCAGGACTAGCCTCTTGGTGAAGGTCAGTATCCTGACTTACAAAGGCAGCTTAGATTTGATGGTCACACCTTGTCCCTATGCCATATAACAGCTATGAATGCTTGGGACAGGGTTGAAAAGCCAGGAAGGAGGACTGAATCATTTAATAAAATTATCCAAGGCCCAAAAGACATCTTCTTTTTTTTGTTTTTGTTTTTTGTTTTTCCAAAGATTGACTTCAACTGTAAATAAAATGATATCGGATCCCAAAATTAGTTACAGGGAATCTGGTCCCCTTCTTCTAACTAGGCACACACATGATACACATAAATACATACAGATAAAGTACTCATACATATGAGATAAAATAAAATTAATATTTAAAGTATAAAAGAAGCTGGGCAGTGATAGCTCACACCTAATCCCAGCACTTGGGAGGCAGAGGCAGGCAGATCTCTGTGAGTTTGAGGCTAACCTGATCTACAGAGTGGGTTCTAGGACAGACTCCAAAGCTACAGAGAAACCCTATTTCAAAAAATATTTAAAATATAAAATAGGCAGAGGATCCAGTTGTGATGGTGCACACCTGTAGTCTCAGCACTTGTGATGCCAAGGCAAGAGGATCAGGAGTTTGAGGACAAACTGGGGTACTCAGCAAATTCCAGGCCAGCCTGAGCTGTATAACATAACCCTATCTCAATAAATAAACAAACAAATAAATAAAGCTACAAACAAACAAAGAAAAACAAAACAAAGCCAAGGGGGCTGGAGAGATGACTCAGTGCCTAAAAATACTTGCTGTTCTTTTCAAAGGATCCAGGTTTGGTTTCCACATCAAGAAGAGCACAATTACCTGTAACTCCAGTTTTAGGGGATCTGAGGCCCCGTTCTTGCCCCCATGGCACTGCATGAATACACCCACATACACTTAGGTACACACATGCACATAAAATAAAACATTTTTAACAAAATAAGAGTAGAAGATTTGAGTAGACATTACTCCAAAAAAAGATGTATGTGCTATCTCAATATCCAGAAAGTTGAATCCATAATGATTCTTTTTCTTTTCTTTTCTTTTCTTTTCTTTTCTTTTCTTTTCTTTTCTTTTCTCTTCTCTTCTCCTTTCCCTTTCTTCCTTCCTTCCTTCCTTCCTTCCTTTCTTTCTTTCTTTCTTTCTTTCTTTCTTTCTTTCTTTCTTTCTT